TTCGTATTTTGTTTTTACAATCGTTCAAAGGGACAAATACAGAAAATTTTTGTTTGTGCAAAATTTTGAAACAACTTTTATTAACCTGGAAAGTATGGTTATATTTTTGCCAAATCAGCAGCATTTTTAACTAAATCTTGAAAATTAATGTTCAGATCAGCTATAATGTACCATTTTCCACTAAAGAAACTGCGTTAAAGATGTGTGATTCGCGAATATAGCAAGAAAAAAAGCTATGTGCTCTTTTGAAAAAACTGACAGTATTGACTAATTTAAAATCAAAAAGCAGATTACAGCTGTAATGCTAGTTTTTGCCCTTGAGAGTGACACTGCCTTTACACTTCAGAAGTGAATAAATGTTGCACATTTTTTGTTGAAAACTAAGCTGTTGTATTGAAATCAGCAATATTCGAAATTATCTTTTGCCATTAGAACAAAATTTACTGTTTTTTTAAGGCTACTTCCGGATTTCTATGGTATCGATGGGATTGAGCTTCGCTATGATTTTTTCTCGTTGAAAAAAAGACTGTTTCGGTGAAAGCAGGTGTAAAAAAAGAAAACTTTGGCCAAAATGCTCCAAAAAGTTTTTCTTTTTAGAAACTTCATGAGAATGTCCCCCTCACTTGTTGAGTAAATTCTTTTTGAAGAAATTGTTTATTTCCGCATTTGTGTGATCGATACCAAAATTTGAATTTATCTTGAAAGTGAAAAGTGAAGTTAAAACTGATATTGAAACTGACAAGGGTTTTTTTTTCAGGTCTCCCTGCCTGCAATTTTTGTCCTGTCGCTTGCAGAAGGAATCTTCTATTTGTAATTTACGAACAGTACAGGACGAAAACGAATTACTTGCACAGAAATCACGTTTATTTGACTTATACTATTTTTGCCTCAACTATGCTTTTCCATTCAGTTTTTTCTACGCTTAAGCTAGAAAGCTGCTGAGCAATTTATCACTGTTTCGAGTTTAAGCCGCGATCACGTAACAGCATTTTATTTTGAGTCTTTTGGCACTTTTCTTTATTACGGTGATGCACAAAAAGCCACTTTCTCAATATTGAGCTATTTTTCATTTTCGCGAATAGAATGCAACTGGTTTTTATTCTCAAAAAATCTTAATTCTGAAATTTTAAGAGATAATTATTTAAATGGAAAAGAAATAAATGTAAACCAAAATTAGCGAGGCAGTTCAGCAGCGTTGTTGAAATGTCTATTAGTGCATTTCTTTTTAATCAATCTTGAAAGTTTATCAAGCCAACAGACTGTAATCCTCCAGTAATAAATTCTGCTTATTGGTCGACCGCTTACACTGTACTATAAGCACTTCTAGCCTCATCTGACGTTTTTAGGTTTATAATAGAAGCAAATACTGTTGTTTGGTTTTTATTTCTTTTCTTTATTGTGCTCAGTTTCTTATAGCTGATTTTTTGTATAACCAAATAATTCTTGCAGTGAATATCTTATAGCATATATTGTAAAGTATAAAGTTTTATTTTTATCAAAAAATTTGCTTTTGCATCATACAGAAACAACAAGTTTTTGAACAATAAGTTTATCATCGTCTACTACACTTCTGTCGCTTATATTTTACCACAAAAGCATAACAATTACTTCCTTTGTGGTCGACTAAATTTACCTTTTCACCTTGGCTTGAGTTATTTTATATGCTTGCATTAGAAAAAAAAATAGAACTTGTACGTCCAATAAAATTAATAAATCAATATGTGCTGTTTGATTAAATTTAGTTTAAAAAGATCATTTTGTCAAAAAAACGACTCATAACTTCAAAAAAAAAACTTGTGTAAATTCAAATAAAAGACAAATAAGCTTTAAAAAATGTTTAAAAAAGAAGATAAAAAAAGCAAAAATAGAGTGATTTTCTTAATAAAGGAATTGCAAACCTGTAGTTTAAAAAACTAGAAATAAGAGTGACAGCTGAAGGATTACAATCTGCAACATTAATGCAACAAATTTAGAGACATAAAACTTTGCTAAAAAAGATTGGCGTTCTTGCTGATATTGCTGTTATTGTTCTTTTTTATTATTTTCAAAAGCTTTTATCAGTTATTATCCAAAATACAGAGAAATTAATTGTCGTATGGATCTACATTCAATTTCTTTTTTGATCTTACTACACAATAGCAATTAAAGATTCTAATAAAGTCAAATTAAAAGCAGTGAAAAGGTTTCTTTTCTAGTACCAAAATTCTCAGTTTCTATTCTTACAGGAGTGGATGTACCTATTCTGGAAGACTCAGTTAGACTGCACTTTTTCAATGTGTGGTGACTATAAAGTAATCAAAGACAGTGAAAAAATAGAATAATTTTATAAGTTGGAGAAAAGTGTAGTCAAAGATTTTGTAGTACACAAATCAATTTAAGAAGGTACTCTTGTGTTTCAATCGACTTCTAGAAACACTTTACATCAAAATTTCAGTTTGTTTAACAACCTTCTTCTGTGAAAAAGCAAGCATTTGATTTTGAATTTAATAGCAAACGTTCATCTTCGTTCTTATAATATTTTTGGTCTGTTTTAGTGTAAAGCATTCTATCTGGAAAAAAATTGAATTTGTCAAACGAGTTTTAGACTGCTGGTCAAACAAAAAAAAAAAAAAAACTACTGCTAATTAATTGTAGATTTTAAGCATCACTGAACTTAAACGTCCAAATATGTGATGCTTTAAAAGCACATTAATTGCATATTTACAATCATAGTTGCAAAAAAGAACAATAACAAAAGTTGAAAATATTGTTCTCAGTATAAAGCTAAAATGATTATTTGGAGTTAGTTCTGCCGTGTATTCCTTGTTGCCATATCGGATCTAAATCTTTACGGCATTGCGCAACAACAAGCAAGAAAATTCAAAAAAGACAAAACAACAAGTCAATGAATCATGAACTAACCACTAATGCTAAGTCAATAGATAAAACGCTAAGATAACATTCAAAATTGGAAGACAAAAAAAGAAAGTTTAAAACGAGTTTAGCCAAGGAAATCTTTGATGATTTTTCAGTGTAAACGTTAGACCATTGGTTTTTTCAGTGGTCTTTACCTGCAAATGCTCATGTTGATAACACTAACAATTCCTAAAAGCTTTTTTTCTCTTAACAGATGAAATTTTGAGGAATAATGTTCAGTTTATTAAATTTGAATATCATTTTAGTATCACTGCTAAACCGCTACCTTTTCAATTACTTCTCTTTTTTCTCTTCTCTAACTTACGTCGTTAGGTCATTACTGTTATGGCTGTTGTCACTGTTTTTTGTATATGGTCATTATTTTTTGAAATTTGGTTTTAAAAGCTTAAAACCGGTTAGTGTGACGATAAAGCTTTTTCTTTTTCGATTTAATAGTGCATTCATCTGAATATACCGACGGTGTATAGATGTGTGCCGTAATCGATGACACAATGGAGCGGGAGAAGAAAGCCGTATTAGAAATGATGGCATCTGTTTTAAACTTTGTTTTATTCTGGTTTTTTTCCACTTTAGCGTAACCAAATGCAACTGAATGGTGCTGACCAATAAAGATTGTTTTTTATTTTTTATTTTTTTATTTATTTAGAGTATTTTTTATCTAGCACAGAGGCAATAATCTTCACCGACAACCTGTCTTCTGTTGTCTTAATTTTACATCTCAGGTAAACCGTTGCGGCGACGTTTGTAAGCAGTTTTAGCTGGTCTTCCTCTTAACCATTTAGCTTCTGCAATATTGCTCATATTAGCGTTGCGAATTTTTTCTGTCATTTTTTCTAATTAGACCAGACTTCCTGGCTAGATAGTTCTGGTGCATTTTAGAGTTTTTTCTAGTGAATACACTGTCAGTTAAAAGCAACTTTCTTGAACTATTAAGGCTAGTTGTATACATTTTACATTCTTCGTCTATTCTGTTCGACAAAATGTAATTTTTAAAAAATGTTTGAGTCATACAAAAATTTAATCTTTTCGCTTCACACCAATATCACTCTCTGTACATTACTTCTTTATGATACAAGCTGAATAAATCAAGTATTGTTTGATCTTGAATATTTTTGTAGTTGCTCGTAGCGTTTCTTCGTGCATAGTCGTCGTGATCTCAATTTTGTTGTTGGTGTATGTTTTGAAAAGCAGAATTTTTTCTGTCTGTTGAATAACACTAAAATAGTACTTTTAATTGCTCACAGAATTTTTCATTTTAGGTTTTCTTTTTTTGAAGCTAAAGAAGAGAGTTGTAAATACACTTCATTTCTTTTTTTTTTTTTGTTCATAGCAGATAGGCAAAAACATTCTGCTTTATTAACACTAATCGGTACTATCTGTTCATTCGCCAAGGGCAATTTGATATAGTAATACAAAAAATTTGTCGTCACCACTTTAAATAATGCTGCAAATGTGACAGTGAAAATCCACCCAAAGACGACTAGTAAGTTAAAAGAGATATTTTATAGAGTCAGCAAAACTTATATGGAAATGTCTGATTGAAGTGTTTTAAGCAGAAACTACAGATTTTGCAACTTTTTTATCAATTTTTTTATCAATTTACTTGACACATTTGTTGTTGAAGCATTTTTTTGAACTTGTTTATATTTACTACCCTATCAAATGCAAAATTGCTTATCTATCAAATAAATTTTACCTCTATATTCACCTGAAACTATAAAGAGAAATACTGACGCAAAGAAACTGCGTTGTTTTTTATCTTTATATAGCTTCATCATTTTTTAGGATAATTTTTCTGATCAAATAAGGTGGTAATAAAAAGTTTTTGCTTTTCTCCCTCAAAAAATTGCTGTTTCTTTGGATGTTAAGAACTTTCCAGTTTTTTTCAAAGAAACTTGGTTGAATTTTTTACTGTTTACCTGGTGATAGTTATATGTTCAAAACGCAAAGAAATTGAACAGTTTGAAAGAAATGTCAATGGTATTTGCTACTTTTCCATCTTGCTAAATTGCTTGTAAGAATAAAAAATTTTGGTTAATCTTTATTCGTTTTTTGCAGGAAAACTATCAAAAAATTTATTTAAAATGTGGCAGGATAAACCTGCAAAACGAAAGGCAACTCCCAAACAGCAGTGTGTTCCGGACTTACCACCAGAACTTTGGAATGAGGTTTCCAGACTTTTGTTTCACTATTTAAAGCAGAAACGGCGCATTCAAATAAGGCGAATATTCAGGCTGAAAAGTTCTTCCATCAAGTGTTAACTATTAGTCCTTTCCATTTTTTTTCTAAACACACTTCACTGATTTGGCGATAAGCAGCTGCTAATTGAAAAAAAAACTTGATGCAAATAATCCGTTTTTTGCTACTCCGGTTTCTCTACCTTCAATCTTTATTTACTCCTATCGAATTTCATTTTGAACATCTAAACTTTTTTACAGATTTTCAAGTTTATAAATCCATGCGAAATATACACAACACTTAAGAACGTTTGTTGGTATTGGCATAATATGATACTGAGCAGTCGAACTTTACCAAAGTAAGTTCATAAATATAACTTTTTAGTCACCATCTTCATCTGTGCTACTCAACAAAAAGTAGGTATTGACTCGTGTTATCCTTATAGCTTTCCGTTGCACCTTATCATCGATTATTATTTTAGCAACTTTTTCTGTATTACTTTAAGTTCCCTTCTCTTATCTCCGCTAATTCGCCTTAAATTCTGTCGTTGAATTATACTTCAGGTTAAGAAGGCGAAATAGTGGAGAGAATGTGATGGTTGTGGCTTATGTATAATTCAATGCACCAAAAGTTCTCGATAACCTCTAAACTTTTACTTTTGAATCGTCTTCAACTAATCAATAAAAAATCGCTACAGCAGATCTTTAAGACGCCAAAAAATAGAAAAAATAAAATAATTTTTCCAACAACATCAATAATGAAAGGAATATTTATCAGGTGCAAGACAGGCTTAGAATTTGCAACTATTTCCAGCTGTATTCGCTAAAAGTTTCTAGTCACACCGTTATAATAAACTTCTGTTTTAAAAAACTCTAAAAATATCCGTTTTTCAAAGCTTTAAAAAGAAAAAATTTGTTCTACTGTAAACACCATTCATGTTCAATCTCCTTGTTGAAAATAAATCACTATTTTCCTTTTTTCAACTCAACTTCATTTAACTGAACAGAATCACAAAACTAAAAACTACGAAATTGTAAATTAAAAAAAAGTGCTTAACTAAAGTTTCCAATCTTTACTCTTTTATATTCGCTTACACCTAACAAAATACTTTTTCAGATTAAATTAATGAATTTTTGAAGTAAAAAATTTTTTAAAACTTTTGTCCCGCTTACTACATGTTTGGTTAGTGAAAAAAAGTTGTGGTCTCCTAATTTGTCCTGCGTAATTCTACTACTATAATTCGACATGGGAATATCCATGTAATTGCATAAAAAGCCATCCTTAATTGTTACAACCTACTGTAAGAAACTTTCCAACCCCAAAAATGGTTAATTGTTTAAAATATGTTTTT